AAATTAGTTTTCAGACCGCAGATACTAAATTTGTAGGTAATTTCAACAGCCTTAAATACAACATTATCACCCACTACATTTTCATTGCGTTCCTGCCTTGGCATAGGCGTATTGTCTTTGAGCACCATAGCACTCAGCTATATCGTCGATCACTCGGCGCATGGAGATCTCATTGACGTAAAATCACTGAGTGTAGCCAGTTAGCTCGTATAACGGTTCTGGGAGTTGACGCCAGCAAGTTAATTTTGATTAATAGCTTCTTATCCATCAGGATCAAACTAACTTTGCAAAGATAATCCAAAGTGAACCAAAGCATATATGAGATATGGTATAAAACCTTTTGATGCATGTATTACAATAATTAACTTAATATCAAGGAGTTGGCGAAAATCTCCAGTACCGTGGTGTCTCCGTACAAGAAAAGCAATGGTCAGTGAAAAGCACGTTCAATTTGGTGCCTAGCGCCTAGAATGAAATTCGCCATTTTTCGATAAACCACTGATTTCAAACTCATACAATCGCCACTAACAAGCCGTGTTGGCGAAAAGCTTATCGAGTAATAGCGTGGCTGTATCCTCACTGGGCGGTATTGCTAATAGCGGCGAGATTAGCTATTTCACTCGGTCCATCTCAGAGTTCACCATAGCGGTATGACCGGGTGCGTATTTTAAAGAATGATCGTAATGTTCATATTTATGGATTTGCCAAAACTGGTAGGTCGGCAAAAAGCGCTGATGCCTGCGTTGACTTTCTGACCGATTGACATACTGACCACACGTGCGCACATACGTGCTTGCCTACGTATATACATGTTTCGCTACCGATATATATCGCTCGCTGAGCAATCTGAATCTTCGTTTCCAAGGTTTTATCTTCCTTCCGTCAAACATTATATTGTAGTCAAGGCCCTAGTAATTATGCCTCCGCACATTTATTACCAAGTGGGGAAATACCATGATACAGCAATCCCTGGGTACGGAATAGCGGTGCAAGCGTGCACCGACAGTTTTCATGAAGCGCATACGAATTTTTGATCTTTAGCAGCGCATCATCAAAAGCTGACGACATCATTATCGCGACAGGCGACGAACCAAAGCTGAACGACGCGAAAGAGCATCTGCCACACATTAAGCCGATTCGGTTTACAACTTACCTTCGATATATACTCGGCAAGGAATAATACTTATTCTTGTCGCTTGCGGTGAGAGATGCGGAACAACGTCGCTGTGCAAAACAGCAAATTATCTGAATAGATCGCAAGCGGCTTGGAGTCAACACATTAAACCTAAACTTGACCAGGGCATACTTCGTTCTTAACACTTCTTTGGTTTTGTGAACAGGGAGTCGTTCTGTACCGCTTAGTGTTTGCGAGTGTCACTTCTATCCCGCTTTCATTTCCATTGGCAACCTTTCTAGCCTAAAGCAAAAAAATGAAGTATCACAGATAACTAGGACTAGCCGATCATATTTGGGTGAACCAGAAGCAAGGTTAATGGTTCTGCTGCGCCTCCGTACTATTTTAATCGTTTCAAAGCAGATTGATGAGTGATTGTGCCGTGTCGGTATAGTGGCGCAAGCAGTTGATCAAGTCAAGCACACTCTGGGTCAGTGGCAGTTGCGTGATCAACTGTGGCCTCGATCTGTGTGGGATTTGCTCGCAGGCCATGCATTTTGACAAAGCAATCCAAAAAGGGAACCTCTTCAGCTCCAAGGCAGCATTGACAAACAGCTTTCTAAACCAAATATAGCCCGCAAAGATTTGATGAGGTTCTCCAAACCCCAGGCTCTCCAAGACTATGGACAAATATAGCGTCGAAAAAGGCTCGCGGATGTATTCGTCTAATTATATAAGGATGCATAATTTGTCATTTGCCTTTATCCTCTCAGACACAAAACGCTGGTGATGAGTGGGAAGATTCCCTCTCCGTTTACCCGCTTCGTGATACACACAGAAGAATACGTTCATGACACCACATCGCTTCGATGGCTATGGTCGTTGTCGCCTGACGCAATATTTGATCTCATGAAACCAATCAATCTCAGAACGCACTATCCTATCTATTGTCAGCACGTTTTGTTATCGCTTCGCACAATGATTTTGATATATATATATATTTGATGATAGCTTTCCTACTTCTCGCACTCATTGTTTAATGACAAGAACAGCCACTATGGACGATGAGCTCGGCCACTCCTCCGGCACCAGCCGCACCGTTTCGGAGACCGCATCGTCTTGCAATTGTTTGTCAGCATTCCATGGTAAAAACTTCTGATGTTTTAAAAGAAGTTAGGCTTACCATTTCTAAGATAACTCCGGTCATCTTTGTCACAACTGAATGCCACTTACCTGTGAAGCTCCACTGCACCGCATGGTGGACCCGTCACTCGGTAATGCTGACTCAGCAAGACCGTCATCGTGACAAGGATACGTCGTCAATCTTAAAGTTAGAGTCTAGTGCTTTCACTCGTAACATCCAGTCGCTCTTCAACTCCACAGAATCTTGCACGAAAGCTGCGTTGGCCAGTCTCTTGTTTCCTTTGTCGACACTGACAAAGGGAACACCAGCATCCAGCTATCATTTACACCCCACACACCATAAGATCTGAAAGCCACGACATAGAGTGACTCGTTCCTGTATCGACAAAGATGCACACAATATGCGATCGCCCCTCTCGGTCTTATTCTGTGACAGCAGTTCACTGTGCTAATGTTTTCCAAGCTTGGATAAAAAGATGCGCAATATCGTTGCTGATTATTTCGAACCGTTCCATGCCATACATAGAAGCTAAAGCAGCTTCATGCTTGGTTAATCTTTGCTTCTGCTTCTCTGCAAGAGTGGGTGAAGATTCGCCAAAGCTACATCGGAAATCATGTGCGTAGCACATGGCGTATTGCCGCTCAGTAATCCATCTTTCATGGCATTGAGTTCTGCCACACCTAGCATGCAATTGCAACTCAGATCTAAATCCAGAGCGAAAATCTATTCCATGTTTCTCAGTCCTTAGGCCTCACAAACATATTTATATTAGCGTTTGACACACTTTCACTAGTGCTCGCATCGCAAGTCGCATGAAAAATATGTCCGTACTTGGCGTCTTCGATGCCTTCACGCCTTTGAAACTCTAATATCCGCACCATTTTGCAGGTCACTGTTGAATCAATGAAGACTTTTCAAAACCTAGGTTATTGATTCTAACAACAAGACTGTGACCTGAAGAGAGTCGCTTTATTTAAACTGATTACCACTGATCTCGATCTACAGGGGGTACGATAAAGCCAAACCCAAAATCTCAGACGATTTTACATATGAAATCGAGCCTTCATGTCTCTTAGCTGATAGAGGGAGCTTATAGGCCGCGTATATTTGTCGCGTATTATCATAGACACAGCTTTTGTGAGCACCGAAAATCTGCTCGATAACAAAGAGATTTCTCTCTTCCCCGTAAGCATAGCTGAGCCCCATGCGATCTAGTAACTTGAAGACCACAAGCGCGACGCGTTGTTATTCGACTGGATCATCGCCAACCTCATAGCCATCTCAGTTTCCATTATCCAGCGCAATAGATTCTTTCGTTCCTGTCCCAGTAGGGCTAGACGTAAGTCGTCAGTTATCTCGCGGCGGGAGCTGTCGCTTCCTCAAACAGTGCCTATATGGAGTGCTCCTGAAAGTTCCGCCAGCGCATTTTCATAGCTAATAAGCATCCCCGCTACTTCCGGTCCTAACCTTGATCCCATCAGGGTAAACGATTGACATAATTTTATCAAGCGTGTCTATTTCGCCCGGAGATAGGTATTTGGCCAGCTTGTTTTCTATCCTCACAGAGTATATATTATTTGCGACTCTTTGTCGGATTGATTAAAAGTGCTATTAAGTGTAACAGGGTAAAGACATAGTTTACACACAAAATTTTGAACAAACATTTGCATACACAAAGCAAAGAGGTTGAGCTTGCACTAACCACCCCGACGTAGAACGGAAGGCCTCTTCGGTAACTTGTTGTCTTCTTTACTATTCATTTTCAAGAGTGATATATAAATAGACTCAGTTTATATCAAGCAATGATACATGTAAAAGTGTTGCCATGTATAGTAGTTGAACTATAGCTATTGCTTCACACGCAGAGTGCTACACGAGAATTGCCCGTCCGTGTACACACACTTTCTGAGTAAGTCTTAGCTCAACCGACACGACTCACCGCGTGTTGCTCGCTTCCAGCGGGCCATTGACGCACGTAGAAAGGAGGAAGGGCAAAGTGATTAATATAGCCAATAAACTTTTGACCTATCTCACCTGATAGAAAATCTCAGTTTTGAATTGAAAGGGGATATACAACTATACAGAAAGTACATTAATTGTTAGCCACACAAATTATGTGGTCCAAACATATGTGTGATGACGCTGGCACGTTACACCACCTCCTCTCAGATATGGGTCAGACCAAATTCTTATAAAAAATCTTCAACTCTTCTTCCAATTCTTCTTCCGCTCTTCGTATCACTTCGTTCAACTCTCGCTAAATTGACAGCCCACACGCTTGCTCCACATGAGATTTCGTCTCCATTGCACTCTATTTTAAAGAGAAGAGAAGAGAATTGCTGTCTCTCTCCTTCCTCTGTAGCAGGTTCACAGCCTCCGTCCGCCTCTGAACTGCGTTTGACGAAAGTGAAGAATCTTCTCTTGCTGATGAACCAGCGGCTGATCGAGGTAACCGATCAAGTGTCGTCGACTCTGCAAGCTCTCCGGCCTACTGCGGCTGCTCCAGCTGATGATGCAGGGTCTCCTGCAAAGCGATCTAGCTCTGTTTCGGGCGTTCCGGTTTATTTCAGTCATTCCGAGGGCGATGCTGAAGCGACGACGCCAATTTATCTCGGGAAGAAAGTGACGCCAGCTAGGTATGCTAAGATATGCCACTTGAATGCAAAGTCTCACAATCTCCTGGCGGAAACTTCGTGGATTCAGTGGGCCTTCTTTGTTTGCTATCATTCAACAACGTCACCGATGGAACTACACGAGATACTTTATAGTGCTATGACAGATATATTCAGTCATCAGGATCTGAACAATATATTTGTAAAAGCGCTCGAGGATCCTCACACAGTACAGCTCGCAAACGCATTGCTTGAATGTAGGTGGAGCTATGATCGAAAAGAAACTCACAAGATGCTTGCGAAGGTCAATCCTTACAATTTCTTCAGCAATCATTTCAAAGAGTTCGTTGGGTATATACGCAGTCAGAATAGAGATCAAGATGAATTGGTGTATACTTTTTTGGAACTGAAAGTTCTCACCGAGTTTTATGGAGAGGACCTTCTAGCTCAAATTTTGGTCCTCCCGAAAAATCAAATTGTCAGAGGGTGGACATACTTGAATGCTCTTACTACGGTTTGGCTGGGAGAGAAAAAGAGCCCGGTTGAAGTCATGAAAACGGTCGATGATGACGTTTACAACTTTCTCTATTATGGAGCTGATAAGTTTTCTCCGAAATTATGCTTTTCTTACAACTCAAAATTTTATAAAGTTTACCCCAGTGAAGTTACGATGACGTCGCTTGATACGCTCACCAGTGCTGTCGGCCCCGCGAGAGTGGCGATCATGCTAGATATAGCGCAAAAGTCTCCAAATTCGTTTGGCAAAAGCCAGGGACTTGTCTATCAAAATACACAATATCAAGAATGGTACGCCAAAAAATTATCACCTGATGATGTGTATGAAATGATAGAGAATGACTTGATGAAAAACCCATGGGGGTTGTCTGATGCATCGGATTTGGCCGAATCGGTCCGAATAAGATACACCTCTGCTCTTCTACACCCTGATTTCACAAAGAACAAAGAGCTTGTGGTGTAACAATGTAATTGCAGTCTCAAGATTGATTCGTTTTGACTTAACCAACACACTCATAACAAAAAAAGTAATACATTTGCGTTGTAATACACTGTCAAAGTTGTAAAGCTCAATCAACGTGTATTTCTAATCAGTTAAATGATCTCTCGACATTTATGTTACCAACACGACCGAATGATGCAGAACATCTGCTGTCACCACTCAACCCAGAGTGTACTTTTCACGCACCTCCGTCTGATCTTCCGAGCTGTATTTCTATAGTATGCTACTGTATTATGGCCAATCCCATCGATTATATTTCAAATCATGTGATATAATAGAAAATTTTGATACGGTATAAATATATCACTATTAAAAGTTCAAATAAAAAAAGTAACTTCTTGTTTAAATACACAGACTACATCAATGTTACGAAATGCAGTAGCAAGTTTAAATATGAATCTTAGCCAAACAATCATCTTAGATCTCAAAGATGTGACAAAGATACAGATGAATTAAACCTTATTTTTATTCTAAATTAAGTAAACTCTGGCTTTCTACTATTTTCTTCAAGTACATTTTAGGGTTTAGGAGAATCAGGTACCTCTCGTCGGGATGTCTCCGACTCGCATTCTTCGATTTAGACCAAGACTCAAACATGGGTGTCCGTCTCCTTCTTGCTCTGATCTTTGCCATCACTCTCCATGCTTGCAGTATGGCGCTTCCCGCGGTCAATGACCTTAATCATATGAAAGCGGGGAATGCTACGCAAAGTACTAGCACAGATTATGGTAGTGAGGAACGTGGTATGGCGGGGGTCGAAGCGGTAACTGAGGCTGGCAAAACTCGAATCCTGGGGTTCAAAGCCCCAAAGTGGTGGGAAAAATTTCTCGAACACATCATGCCGACGCTCAGGTATAACCGTGACCGCGTATCTCGATTTTTTACTTTCATCAAAGAATTATTTCTTGGTCAAAGTAAGAATGCAAAAGCTCTCAAGAAAAACTCAAGTGTGAAGACCGTTGAAGCCAAACCTGATCCACCTCCAGTTGTTGCGCCAGTTCCGCCAAAAAAACTTCCTGCTCCTGCTTCTGCTCCTGTTCCTGTTCCTGCTTCTGCTTCTGCGTCTGCCCCAGCTTCTGCGTCTACTACTGTTTCTGCTCCGGTTTCTGCTCCTGTTTCTTCTCCTGCTTCTTTGGAACCATCGGCATCAACTTTACAGAAGTCTACGAGATGGTCGTGGTGGAAAGAGGCAGCGGAAACGCCAGTAAAAGCTGTGCCAAAGTCAGGCCCGGGTGATACTGTTTCGAAGAATACTAAAAGTTGGTTTTCAGTTATGAAAGCGATCTCTCAGTGGCCGAAAAAGTCAACCACTGCGGTAACAGAGCAGGGAGATTCTGTTTTGTGGTCCGAGTCAGCGGAGAAGTCACAGAATTCCGTACCAAAGCGAGACCCCAGCAAGACAATTTCAAAGAATGCTGAAGTTGTTGCTTCACTCGTGAAACCGTACGTTATGCGGTGGAAACAATTAATCACGCCGGTAACGAAGGAGGGAGATGCTGTCGAGAAGACTTCACCAAAGTCTACGAGCTATTTGTCTAGGTGGCCTGCGCATGTGAAGCAGTACTTGCCGTCGTTTAAACAGTCAACAACCCCGGTAAAGAAGGAGGAAGATGCAGCCAAAAGTTTTTTACAGATGCTTGCGAGCTATTATCTGTTGTGGAGAAAGACAGCGGTGAAGCCGCATGAAGCTACTCTGAAGTCAGACTCGGGTGAGGTCGCCTCATAGAATGCTGAAAGCTGGTATTCCTACCCGAAGAAGTACTTTACGTCGTCGAAACAGTCAACAACTCCGGTTACGAAGGAGGGAGATGCGACCGAAAGTAATATACAGAAGCTGAAGAACTTCTTGTTTCGGCGGAAAATGACAGCGGAGAAGCCGCATGAAGCTGCTCCGAAGTCAGACCCGGGTGAGATCGCCTCAGAGAATGCTGAAAGTTGGTATTCCTACCCGAAGAAGTTCTTTAGGTCGGATAAACAGTCCACCACTCCGGTAACGAAAGAGGGAGTCACTGTCGAAACTTCAGAGAATCCTGCAGGCTTTGTTCCAAGTATTTCAAGTTAAACGAATTCAGTGGAGAAACCGCTTGCACCGACCGACGGTGTCATTGATCCGAAAACGCTGGTGTCAGAAGCACAACGCACTCCTAGTGCCAATTCTGCCGAGATGAAGCCAAAAGCTGCTGAACATAGTTAGTGGAAACTTGTTGCTTTGATTCTAAAGCAAAGCGAAGGATCCAACGGCTTCTTATACGTGAGACGAACGAACCCAGTGTAGCCCAGCGACTCATAATAGTCTTTCTACTAGAGTCATATTGGCATTAATTTACACAAGGTTGTTGTTCGATATAAATATATCTTTAGTCAAAATCTTATTAATCTGTAAACTTCAGAAGCATCGAGAGCCTCACAAGTAATTGAGGTACAGTAATTACTCTTTAATTCAAGATAGATTAAGAAAAAGATTTAGCTAAGATTTGTACTAATAAGTCCTCTTTTACTCTAACACTGTAAGTTTTGTATTTATCCGCTAAACATTTGATTAATTTTGTTTAAATACAAAGTAATTGTACGAAATTCACATTGCACTTTGGTATAATTCTTAAAAGACATAGGTACCGATATGTCGGTATTTACAAACGTGCATGGTGTACATTTGCGCACATTAAACTCCGTACGCACGCCGGGCTGCAAACACCACGCCGATAATTAAGTGTGTAGATAGTATAATGTACGTATCTAGCTATAGTCCAAGTCGCGTTAGTTCTAAGTGTTTGTACTCCTGAGAAGCAGAATTAACATGACATCTAATGCCTCAAGCACCATTCCTGATAGAAACGCACTAGCTAAACCTCTGTGCAGCTCGCAAACTCTTTTGCATTAAAATATTTCTCGCTTTGAAAGGGAACGGCAATTCCGTTACACTTCGTATTTCTTGCTATCAAGTTCTCGACCCGAAAATGACTGTATTTTCAGCAATAATGTAATGGAATTGTTTGAAAACATATCATGGGACAAACAGACTAACTTAAAGGGCTCATGTCTATTGCTTTTCGGTGACCCCCCAAAAGCTGGTGGCGAAAAAATAGGCGGTTATTGCTCGCCTGGATGCGCTCCCCCGCCAAGAAAATTATCTGGCGAGACTGTCCCGGAAAGCCGCAACTGGACACCTGTGTATAAGAAGTTGGCACCCACATATAAGCCGCCGATGTTAATCCTATAGAATTTCGAGCACCGGGACAAAAATGACTTTTGTACTAGATTATGAAGGTCTGTTCAGCCATGGATTTGGCCACACCTCAAACTCATCGACAAGGCGTCGCACTTGCGGTCTTCGGGGCGCACGAGTTTTAAAAAATCTTTTTATTGAGAAAGTTATTTTTCATTAATTACAAACAGAATAATATCAATTAAAATGCAACTTTAACGTGGAAAGACTTGAAGCGACAGATATCGCGGTGTTCGTAATGGTTAGTCAGGCGTACAAATGCGCACTATGAACTTTCTTCGTCAATAGGTCCTTAGATGGTGGTCTACGTCCAGGAGCAAAGCTCTCTCCTTGCCACAATGGTGCCCGACCCTCTCTCAAGGGCGGTAACGATTAGCATGTTTATTTAGGATAAGTGGGTGTGGTACATACCGAGGCTTTTCGCGTTCATGCAAACGTTTTCGGGAAGTTTGGCGTTACAATCGGAGAGGAATACAACCAGGATCAAATAGGGAGCTAGAAGCTTAACGAGTGTAACAGAGGTGATGGACGTCACATATGCTAAAATTAAAGAAAGCAGCTCTGGGCAGCTCTTCGGCACTCGCAGATGTTTTATCTACGGTCATTCAAAATATCTGCGCTTTTTGTGCCTCCCTTCGCCCGACTTAGAGATATAAAGCTTGCTTTTAAGCACTAACATTCTGACCTTTGTGAAGCTGTGTAAAGGTCTTGTTGATTCAATAGATCCTGCAGTTATATATGATGCAGGGCTTTTTTTGGAACAGTCGACATTACTCGGAATGTTGGAGATGTCGAAAATTGTGCGTCATGCCACGGATAACGATGCAGATATGTAATATCTTTAGGTGAGATTGAAAATTCAAATGGCTTGAAGCATTAATTTGCATGAGAACCTTTTTAAGATTTGACTTCATCTAAGTTATGACGTGGCCGGAACGCTATGATTTTCGATGGACAAAAAGCAAATTAAGGTACTGTAATGGGCTATACTTGGCCATTACATGACAGTACATTTATGTATCTTCTGTCTGCAATAAGGAATTTATATAAAAAGATTACAATATGGTGTCCCAAATGCTTACGTGATTTCTTATTTGAAGGCACATACATTCTGTGTGACACAGAATGCTGATTCCTACTTGAGGATCTGTCCCATGATGGGATTATAGCATGCGAATATGCTGGCTCACGTATTGTAGATGTAACGACTGGTTGTGAAGTTGCACGAACATATGTTCTTGTAGCACCGTTGCCGACGATGGAAGAGCTGGTGCAGCTCGAGAAAATCATTTATGACGACTTTCTACACGACCTCAAGTGCAATGACTTTGCGGAGGTCGTGTTGCTACGATCACCCGTTATCGTGTGGAGTACCGGCTATTTACAGGCTCCAACTAATTATTTTTATCCAATCGTTATGGAATCTAAGGATGACGTCGTCAGTGCCAAACCGCCCTCTGGTCTTTCACCCGAACGTGAAGCTCGACACAGAATTGATCATGAGCCTTGTTCAAAGCATGCGTTTTTTGTGCAATGGGAACTGTCGCATGAGCAAAGCGAGTTGCATCGATGAGCTCTTTGCTCAAAAGCAAGCTGCTGGTTTGATGAGGGAGAGCAAATCCCCTCACAGTGCGCTGACGATTTGTGAGCGCATACAAAACAATAAATAGCGTATCGTTCACGTCTATAACAAGTTGAATACGCAAGCGATTCCCGCTGAAACTCCTCGCAAGGATATCACCATCCACCGTATGTTCGGCTGTACACAGTTAAGTGTACGTAATTTAGTTGACGGATGTCACCAAATCTTGAAGAAGAAAGAGAACGTTTTCTTAACGACTGCTAGTACACCGACGGGTATGCTAGGGGGTGACTTGTGATGTGACAGGGACTATCCAATGCCCCAGCAACGTTCAGTCGATTGGTTACACATCTGTTTCGACCACTGCGACGCCTCGCTCGATAGTTTCGCTCATTCAAAGGACAAAGATGGCAGATCTGCCGAAGATGTGCACTTAGAGCACATCCGTGCGGTGCTGGATTGTATGCGTAATCATTCAATGCAAAGTGTATCTTTGTTACAAACGGTTTACCGGTTCTCAGTTGTTACTATAGTAAACACGGTGTTCGTGCAGACCTGAAGCAATCGTGGAATTGCCGATGCCACGAGACCAAATAGAGTTTAGGAAATGAATTGTTTTGTACAATTACCTGCAACGCTTCTCGCGTAACTACGCGGACATGTTTCGCCCATCATTAAACTTGATGATGAAGGACGTACCATGGAAGTGGTCATTCACTTGTGAAGAAGCACTCGCTCAAATCAAAACTAGCTTGGTGGAAGCACCATTGCTTGTTTTACCAGATGTTACGAAGCCAAATAGCGTGGTATGTGACGCTTCTTAGTGTGCAATCAGTTGTCCATCATTGCAAAAGGACTCAGAAGGACACGATTGTGTCGTGTCCTTTGCGTATGTTGAGGATGAGCAGTGCGATCATATCATCAGAGCACTGTCATCGAGCGATGTGGAACTCCATGACAAGCTTCCCGGTCGCTTGAAAGCAAGGTTGCATCGTTATGTACGGAAGATTGGCCTCCATAACTATGAAGTTGCACGTGAGATGAGCAACAAGTAGATGTACGAGGTGCATGATACGCAGATGGCCGATCAGTTTGGCCGTGAGATGACCTACCAGACTCTCAGTGGCCAATTTTGGTGGCCCCGCATGTTCAGTTGGGTGGCACGATACGGGAAGACATGCGATGTCTGTCAGTGCGTGAAGAGCGCGAGGCACACGCAAGTGCCACTGCAGAGGCTTCCTGTTACTACTGACTGTTGGCAGTCACTGAGTCTCAACTTCATTTTTGGCTTCCCCGAGAAAGCTGACGGCCATAATGGGGTGCTCAGCTTTGGTTAGAGACTCGGCAAGATGGCCCTCATCGCTCTGTGTAGCGATTTCATCGATGCCGAAGGTTCGGCTAGATTGTTCATGGATCACGTTTTTTGCACTCACGGGTGCCAGACGCCACCGCCTCTGATCGTGATACGCTATTCACGAGTGGCTTTTGATATTTTTTTTCAAATTCTTGGCACTGCCTGGATATTTCTACAGCAGTAGACCTGAAGACCAATGGGCAAACAGAACGTGCCAACCGAGTGGTCAGTGATGTGTTGAGAAGCTTTTGTGCGGAAAATTCCGCGTAATGGAGTTCGTTATTACCATTGGTTAGTTTGCTATGAACAATTTAGTTCATTCATTCACTGAATTCACGCCCTATTTCGTGAATGGCTTGCGACACCCACAAATACCGCTGTGTGTGCTGGGTGGTGTCTTGAATATAAGTGGGGAAGAAGCTCAGCAAATTTTTGCCTCCTAAATTGATACAATCAACGATAAGCATATAAAGTGCAAGTATAAGGGCGCCCTGGCTTCACTCATCCTGAGTCGTGTAAATGTGATCACACGGATGCGAGACGCACAAGATTTGCAAAACGAATACGCGGATAAACGAAGTCGTCAAGGCATATTGTCTTTTTTGTGGGGGGACCGTTATGTACTTTTTACTACTAAGAACCTATCAGACGAGGCGGTCTTAAGCTTGGGAATCTTACAGCTTTTGCCTCGCTTCATCGATCCATGTCATGCCATTTTTGCAAAAAATTAATTTGCTCGATCGCATGGGAATGTATACACTATCGACCTGCCAAGCTGGCTAAGGACTAATCCGACGATCTATGCAAGGCTTCTCAAGCCCATCGCGGTGACGCGATTTCCAACCTGGATGTAACGCAGTCTTTTTCGAAGATGGTCTTAGAACCACAACTTTGGCACGAGGGTCGAAGGTTGAACCCTAAGGTTCGACTTTGTTGACGATGGCTTTCAAGCCAAGATATTCCCAACTCTTGGTGTATTTTGATATATTTTCATAGAAGTCAGAGATTGTTAGTGGACGATAAACATTTGCCGGTTTCGACAATGTCG